CCACTTCCCAACCTGCTGTATCAACCAGAAATGCTGTAATGAGAGAAATTTTTGGCAGGTCACAGCCTGAGTACCGACTTAATTACCGATGGTCAATAAGTGTTCTGTTTTGTGACTTTTCTCCTTCTGTTTTTCTTGACCTGTTTCTGTTTGTCCTGACCTGTTCCTTGCAAAATATGTCTGTTTTCCTGGGGACCCACTGTCACATGCTCATCAAGAGTTTTCAAGGCTAGTAGGCTCAGGCCTAAGGTTAGGATATGTAAGCCGTATTGCCAAAATGAGGTGCTTCTCAAAATAAGTGAATGGAAGTATTGGCTGAAAATATTTTAAAAAAGATTTTCAACTGATGCCATTTTCTTCAAGTTTAACATGTCTTTTATTACTTCATTTTAATAAAGCACACACACTGAACTTGTAAGTTTGGTGAATCTATGTTCATAAGGCTAAAATCTGAGAAGTAACTCATTTTGTTAGCATGCCTCGGCGTATGTGTATTGTAAGTACGCTCACCAGCTGGTCCGAGTCCCATGTTGATGAGTTGGTTGTTGCTGTCAGCCCTGTGGGTGTGGAGAGCAAGTGGGTGGTTGGCGGGTGCTCTTGTGTGGTTTGCTTCTTTTTTCCTATCAAACATCTATCGTCCTTATCTCCCCTCCTTCTTTTTTATGTTTGTTACTCTCTTGTAACACCTCTAATCTTCTGGCTCTCATATGACCTTATGCAGTTGCGAGCGCCGAAAAACCTCTACTAAAACAAACAAACAAGTAGAGAGCAAAATGTGGAGAACACATGATTGAAGAGCCTTGTGTTGGACATACCTCTATGCAGTTCAACTTACTGTTTATCATGATTAGTTGATTCTGCAGTGGTGTGTTGAATCTAGGTTGTACAAGCCTAACTGCTCTGAGTTTATGTAGTTGTCGGCCTTCGGTTTTTGGTCTTTAGTCACTGTTGGTCGGATGATCCAAATGAGTGGTACTTTGAGTCCTCATATTGGCCAAACTATCAGCTATAGAACATTTTTTTAATGAATTAAAGTAAGCAAGGAACTATGATCTCTTCCCAGAAGTTTGCCAGACCTAAAGACTTTTTGCTTCCCTGGTTTTGGCCTAGAAGTTTTGTTTTCCCTGATCTGAATGGACTAAAAAAATAACAAAAAAACAAACCCAAAAGCGATATGAAAATGACAGGGATCTTCCTGTAATTACAGTCGAACCTGCCATGACGGCTCCCTCTATAATTGTATAATACGGCCACTTTCCATATGTCTGACATATTTCCTGTTGTTGCTTTATTCTTTTCCTTGAGAATTTCTTCTACATCATTGTGTGTGGTTAGGAGGTGCTCTTGTGTGGTGTGGGTGGTTGACGGGTGCTCTGATGTGGTTTGCTTCTTCTTTCCTATCAAACATCTATCGTCTTTATCTCTCCTTTTTCTTTTTTGTGTTTGTTACTCTCTTGTAACACCTCTAATCTTAGGCACTTATAGGACTTTATTGTGTTGCAAGCGCCGTAAAACCTCTACTAAAACTAAACTAAACTAACTCTTGTGTGGTTGGCTCCTTCTTTCCTATCAAACATCTATTGTCTTTATCTCTCCTCCTTCTTTTCTGTGTTTGTTACTCTCTTGTAACACCTCTTATCTTAGGCACTTATAGGACTTTATTGTGTTGAAAGTGCCATAAAACTCTTACTAAAACTGTAAAACCTTCATATCATTCTCCTTCCTTTCTTTTACATAGATTCATTTAGTTCAATTTTTACACATGAAAGAAGAAACAGAAGTAAAGTCTATGCAGTTAATTTCCATTTTCAATTTTTATCTTCCCTGACCACCCATTTATGAATGTGTCAGCGGGAAATGGGTTTAGATGGGACTGTTGTCGTGCAGCAGACACAAGGGTGTGATTACTTGAACTTGTGAAATAGTTTTGTGCTTTCTCTTTCAGATTATGCGCTTGCAACCCTTTGACTTGCGACGAAGACTGTATATAATATTTAAGGGTGAGGAGGGTCTGGACTATGGTGGTCTGGCCAGGTAAGTTTGTAATTTGGTGGATTTTTCCCAATTTTTTGTGAGTTAACAAAAAATGTTCATATCTTTTTTCTTTTTTTGAAGTGTGTTTACATAAAATCTTGTATTGTTGTCAAGACTTTTTTTCCTTAATGTATTGTCTCAGGTAAGGTTTACTTTACAATATTGTAAACAGCAAATATGAAACGTGGGTGGTTGGCGGGTGGTCTGGTGTGGTTTGCTTCTTCTTCCCTATCAAACATCTGTCGTCCTTATCTCCCCTTCTTCTTTTTTCAGTTTGTTACTCTCTTGTAACAACTCTAATCTTCTGGCGCTCGTATGACCTTATACAGTTGTGAGATCAGTAAAACCTCTACTAAAAACATAACAAAAAAAACCCAAAAGCGATATGAAAATGACAGGGATTTTCATTTAATTACAGTCGCACTGCCATGACGGCCACCTGTATAATTGTATATTACGGCCACTTTCCATTTTCCTCCTTGCGTTTTTTCTGTATAATTCCACTGTGTAAAACGGTCACCTGTCCAATGCGGCGGCGGCCACCATATTAAATGATGATTATTGTGTCGATGTGCTTCTCTTTACTCTAACAGACTTTGTTTTTACAGGATTTTATTATGTCGAGAAATGTAAAAAGTTATTTTACCTACACTGTATTAAAAAATTTGTGTTCAATGTCTTTTGTACCTTGAAAGTCTAACCCCTGTAATTTGTCTATTTGCCCTCCTCTCCTGGTCCCACCACCACCACTACCTCAGTGGGTGGTTGGCGGGTGCTCTGGTGTGGTTTGCTCCTTCTTTCCTACCGAACATGTATCTTCCTTATGTCCCCTTCTTCTTTTTTATGTTTGTTACTCTCTTGTAACACCTCTAATTGGCGCTCATATGACCTTATTGTGTTGCAAGTGCGGTAAAACCTCTACTAAAACTAAAACTATCTCCCCTTCTTCTTTTTTGTGTTTGTTACTCTCTTCTCCTAACACCTCTAATTTTCAGCATTTATATGACTTTATTGTGTTGCAAGTGCCGTAAAACTCTTACTAAAACTAAACTAACCCCTGTTATTTGTCTATTTGCCCTCCCCTCCCGCTCCCGTCCCACCACCACCACCACCACCACCACCATCCCCGCCCACAGGGAGTGGTTCTTCCATGTTTCTCACGACGTCCTCAACCCCATGTACTGCTTGTTTGAGTACGCCAGCAACAGCAACTACAGCCTTCAGATCAACCCGGCCTCCAGTATCAACCCCGATCACCTGTCTTACTTCAAGTTCATCGGCAGGTTCATCGCCATGGTATGTGCCCTGTTTAGACCACTTTTGGCCACAATATTATTTTTGTTCCGCTTATTACTACCCCCCCGGGGCGGTGCTAGTGACTGAAGTGTCTTTAGGCCCTTCCCTAAGTTGGTACATTACCATGTTCTGTTGCACAGTAGAATTGTAATTGTAAATGGGCTGATTCATCGATGTCATGCTCATAACTGCCGGAATTGCAACAGGGAACTGCTGCTTTTTCCTTCCTCATCCTTACTATCGTCATTTTCCTCTACTTCTTTTGTATGTTTGTCACTCTCTTGTGACCCACTATTTCCGGGGTGCCTTGATAGTCGAAGCAGACTTTGTGCTGTTGAAGCTAGAGAGGTGAGCAGAGAAAGCCTGACTCCCTGTAAGGACTTTTCTGTTGACATCCACCTCTTGGCGCTCATATGACATTATGCAGTTGCGAGCGCCGTAAAACCTCTACTAAAATTAAAAAGCTTATTAATGTCATCAGCCTTGTATGTTACAGCTCTATGACTAGATCTAGTCATTTTAGAATATTTTTAAAAATGTTACTGAAATTTCAAAGAGAGGACTTGTGAGAGGTTGTGAAGGAAAACGTTTTCCAATCATGAGAAATGGAAACCATGTGCCGTAGTGTTTTGAGCTGAAAGGAAATTTTCAGAACAAAATGTTGAGTGGGTGGAATCAAATGACCCTGTCCTGTGAAATATGGATCACATGTTTTTCTAATTGTCTGTTTTTTTTCTCTCTCACATGATCCGTTTATCTCAATTCTTTGTCCAGTAAGGCGTTATATAATACTTTGACAAAAATGTGTGGCAGCGTGGTGGAATCAGGCTCTCGTCAATTTTTGAACATGTAGAGTTGTTGGTATCATCTTAAAGCTTGTTCTGTTGTCTTTTTTTGGATTTAAAAAAATATCCATTTATCTTGAATACAAGTCGAGATATTTGCGAAAGAAGTAGGTGGGGAGTCACTTGTTTTCAGAGGTAAAATTAGTGAGAAAATGGCCGCCAAAGACTAGTTATTTCCTTAGCTTAAGAGTCCGTGGTAACTGAAAATTTATATTGTTTGTGCCTTTATTCAACGTTTTTCAGAAAAATCCACACAGAAATAAGTTCTTTAATGGGCTTGAAAGGTGTTGAGCCAAAAAACAAAAATTTGATAAAAATTCACAACCCTGCGGAAAAATGCAAGTTTCTTCACGTTGATTATTTTGACGAGAGCCTGATTCCACCACGCTGCCTCACAAATGTCTTTTTCATCCCTCTGTTTCTGTTTGTCTACCCTGTTTTTTTTCCTTCCTCTAAAGGCTGTGATTGTGTCTTTTTAGTCTCTTTACAAATGCCTGTTTCAGTACTCGAATGAAAACAGGCTCTTTATGTTTTGTTTTCACAACTCACCAGTCTCATCAGTTTTGATAGACAATCCTTGTGGGTGGTTGGCGGGTGCTCTAGTTTGGTTTGCTTCTTCTTTACTATCAAACATCTATCGTCTTTATCTCCCCTCCTTCTTTTTTGTAGTTGTTACTCTCTCGTAAAACCTCTAGTCTTCGGCACTTATATGACCTTATTGTGTTGCAAGTGACGTAAAACACTTACTAAAAAAAGACAATGCTTTTTTTTTTTCCGTCAGGCATTGTACCACGGTAAGTTCATCGACAGTGGCTTCACGCTGCCCTTCTACAAGAGGATGCTGAGCAAGAAACTGACCATCAAGGACCTGGAGACCATTGACTCTGAGTTTTACCAGTCCCTACTGTGGGTCAAGTGAGTACAAAGCTCTTTGTTTCGGGGATAGTTATAAAGGTGTATTATGAACCCTATCCGTACACTCTGGGGTCATTTTCTACCCCCAGGGTTGTGTTCTTCACATTTTGGAATCCTTAGTGTGCGAAGATCTCTTTGAAACTTTCAGTATTTCTCAAAAGATCATTTTGGCAGACTGCTATGCAAAGCGGATTTTATTAACTAGTAAATTTCCTCTTTGGAAAGTGGTGACACAGAGTTGCCCACGTCGTATGGATACGATAGTAAAACTCGACGTACGGATAGGGTGAACCTGGTGGCAACACTGACGACATCACTTGTAGATGTGCTGTATTTGGATTGCATAGAATGATTGCAGTGTAAATGCGAACGGTTAAGTGGGTCAACTTTGTTCATCGATGTCAGTTCTGAGAATTTTCAAATAATATATCTGAAAATTCTCAGAATTTATATAGATGGGCAAAGTTGACTTACTTAACCAAGGTACATACGTCAAACAACATATGTGTCACAACGTGGTGGAGTCAGGCGGTCGTCAATTTTCGGGCATGTAGCGTTATTGGTATCATCTTAAAGATCTTAAAGCAAAATATGACTGTTCATTGGCACTGTCCAAGAGTCCATCTGTTTTTGACAACCAATTGTGAAGCAGCGTGGTGGAATCAAGCTCTCGTCAATTTTTGAGCATATTGAGTTATTGGTATCATCTTATAGCTTGTACATTTGTCTTGCTTTCAATCAGTGCTTCCACTCTTCCGTATTTTTACGGAAATCCGTACTTTCTGCCAGTTCCGTACTTGTTCCTCCTTTATCATCAACTCCCTCCGTAAAAAAAACTGCGACAGCGCAGGCCTGCCGAAATTCCGTACTCGCCTTCCTATTGTCTTGTAGTTACGGATATTTACGGTAATTCTCTCGGCTACAAGTTAAAGTTATTGAAACCTGCCAGATTGCGCTTTTTCTGCAATCGACCATTATTCCGCTATGTCCCTTGAATTCATTGCGGGTTGGTCGGCAGTACATTTTTTACCTGCAGATGGATCAAAATCTGGCGAACCTTTTGTGCCACTTTTCCTCCTTTCTATCATTCACTTATTCCTTCTGTCTATCTTCGGATTGTTGCCGCGGCTGGAAGATCTGCGCGTTGATCAAGTAAATTGACTTGCGATCTTAGACAAAAAAAATACTGTCAGAAAGAAACTTTTTTTTGCAAATTTGTCTAGATCTAGATCTAGATCTAGAGAAATTATCAATGCGAAGATTCTACGGCACGTGAACGCAATAAGGGCCGCGATGAAAGAAATAATAGTATGCTGATACGCGGGTGCCCACTACGAGACTACGGATGGGATCGGCCGATCGCGCTGATCGCCCGACTCGGTCGCCTCAAAAACAAACATGTTTGTTTTCAGTTTCAGGCGATCGAGTCGGGCGATCGGCCCGATCCAGCCGTTGGTAAAATAAAAAATAATTCGAAGTGGTGTTCCGAGGTTGTGACAGGCGACATTCAGACGTGAAAATTGAGAAAAAATGTGGGTATACGCTGCGCCACTGTATTGTGAAGGTACATCTATTCATTATTCCCAGGTTTGCCTGCTATCAATGGTGCGACGTCAAATTAATTGAATTATAGTAGCAATGAAAGGAGAAACCTGCTTTTAAACATTGCCAGCAATGGAAGGATATGTTGGTGAAGAAATCAAACAAGACAAAATGTTGGTGAAAAAATAAATGTTATGGGCAATCTCTTCAAACTGGCTCCCAAATGCCATTTTCACCCTCTAAAAGCACTAAATTTCAATTTCTTCGGGGGCTTCGCCCCCTGAACCCCCACCCGGGACGCTGCCCCTGGACCCTGCTGGGGGCCTCTGCGGCCCCCAGACCCCCGGCAGAATTTTCCTTACTTTTCAGCTTCAGCTGGTGGAAGCACTGTTCAATGAAAAAATTAACCATCCATCGTCGATAGAAGTGGAGATATTTTGGATTGAAGCAGGTGGGGTCACCTGATTTAAGAGGTAAAATTAGCGAGAAAATGGCCGCAAAAGCTAGGTAAATTCCAAAGCTGGAGAGTCCATGGAAACTGTAAATTTATATTTTTGTGCCCTTAATCAACGTTTTCGGTGAAATCCTCAAAGGAATGTGTTTGTAAATGGACATAAAAGGTGTTGAGCCAAAAAACAAAAATTTGATAAAAATTGCTAAGTTTTCTTCGATTTCAATATTTTGACGAGAGCCTGATTCCGCCACGCTGCCTCACAATTTTCTTCTCAACAATGGGTGGAATTTTTTTAGAACCTTGTTCACTTAGTTAAGAAACGAAAGATTTTTTTCAGCATGTCATTATTCCCATTCGTTGATTTGACTTTTCAGAGAAAACAACATCGAAGAGTGCGGCCTGGAGCTGTTCTTTTGTGCAGACTTTGAGGTGTTGGGCAAGGTGGAGCAACACGACCTGAAGACTGGAGGCAGTGATATAAGAGTGACCGAGGAGAACAAGGAAGAATACCTTGAGTACGTTGTGGAAATATGAGTTATAAAATAGTGTACTCGTAACACCGAGAATGTTTTATCTTGGAATATTATGATTTACTATGTTTTTAAAAGTTTTAGTAGAGGTTTTACGGCGCTCACAACTGCACAAGTTATATGAGCGCCAATTGCTATGTTTGTGACTAGGAAAACATAATAGGAGCTTCATTTCTGTGTTGCATTTATGACAAGAAATACTGTAAAGCATGATTACGGTTGTGTCTCAGATAAAGAAATTAGGGGCATAGTTAATCATTCTGATCCTGGAGGTTTCCAAAATATTCGGTATTGGATAGAATGAGGATGCTCATTTTTTCTTTTTTCTTCTATTTTTTTCTTGTAATTTAAATTATGTCGGGGGGGGGGATACATTTCTAGCTCTAACAAAAATGATAAAAAGTTACTGATAATCGCCAAATTAAGAGACATTTCAGATGTTGTTGTTGTTGTTGTTATCGATCCAGCAACATCTGGGCTCTCGCCCTTCTGTCCAATGCCATGTAGTGATAAGTGCAGGTCTGCTGCAGTTGCTGTAACGTTCCGTAGAGTGTGAGACATTTGAGATAAAGGAAGAAATACTGACTAGGGACTATAGTAACGTTTTACGCTTTCTTCCCCTGTCCAGCCTGATGACCAACTGGCGGTTCACCCGTGGTGTGGAGGAGCAGACAAAGGCTTTCCTGGCTGGCTTTAACGAGGTGGTGCCCCTCCAGTGGCTGCAGTACTTTGACGAGAGAGAATTGGAGGTGAAATTTTTGTCTTCTGTTTTAACTTACCTAAATCGACTGCATCGAGCGTTCCTCCCTGTATTTAAACATTCAATTATTGCCGATAGTCTCTCGTACTGTCTCCTTTAGATCTGTTGGATTTTGATGGAAGACTGATCAGACGATGGGAAGGATAAGACGTTGAAAGTTTTCTTTTTATGATGTAGTTTTCACATTAACAGCCTTTTATCCCTATCCGAACGCCTGGGGTCATTTTGTACCCCAGGGGCTGTATTCTTCTAATTTTAGAATACTTCTCATGCGAAGATCTCTTTGAAACTTTCAGTATTTCTCAAAATATCATTTTGTCAGACTGCTATGCAAAGCGTATGGATCGGATTAACGAGTAAATTTCCTCTTTGGAAAGTGGTGGCACTGAGTTCCCCACGTCGTATGGGTACGATAGTAAAACATGACATACAGATAGGGTTAAAGAATTCTATGTTCTCATATAGCATATCTTTGTATCTGTGTTCCCTGCGGTAGTTGGTTATGGAATTCATGCCCCTCTTGTGCAATTTCTTCTCAGACGTATTTCCTGTGGAGGAACGAAATGTCTTTATTTTTGAAGTGGTCTAGTCATCTATCATTTGTGTGCACTCTTTTGTCATCTTTGCAACTTGCATTTTGCGGCATATTTTGGTCTTTTGGGCATAAATTGTAGACAATCAGAGAATAACATACAGTGTTCATTGTGCCTACTGTAATTTATTCTGTTGAAGGTTGCTGGCGGGTGCTCTCCTGTGGTTTGCACCTTCTTTCCTATCAAACATCTATCGTCCTTTTCTTTCCTACTTCTGTTTGGTGTATGTTACTCTTTTTCACACCTAATCTTCGGCACTTATATGACCCGATTGTTTTACTAGTGCTGTAAAACTCACACTAAAAAGTGAAAGGTTTACCGTGTGTTTTGTACTGAAAACGCGCTTCTTCTTTTCAATCAAACATCTATCGTCCTTATCTCCCCTTCTTCTTTTTTATGTTTGTTTCTCTCTTGTAACACCTCTAATCTTCTAGAGCTCATTTGACCTTATGCAGTTGTGAGTGCCGTAAAGCGTCTACTGAAACTTTTTAAAAAAGTGGAATGTCTTTGTGCGACCTAAATGTGCTGGTTGTGAAAAGTGTCAGGTCCCAGGACTGACTTGTATTGCCCTTCCCTGTGTTCTCAGCTGATGCTGTGTGGTATGCAAGAGATAGACGTGGACGACTGGGAGAAGAACACGACCTACAGACACTACCAGCGCAACAGCAAGCAGGTGGCCTGGTTCTGGAAGGTGAGAGGAGCACTCAAAACTGAGGCTTCAACATGCTTTTGACAACCCCTCCCCCCACTTTTTTTTCTTCTTTGTTTTGTTTTTTGTTTGTCTCTTAGCTTCGGACTATTCATTAGTTCAAGATTTCTCAGCATTTCATGAATTTTATTTGTCACAAAGAAAAATTCTTGAAGTTTTGTTTTCTTCTGTTCGAGCTAACATTACCCTGCGCGTTTAGTGGCCTGACGTTAAAGATCAGTAGTTGTCCTTGTTTGGACGCAAGCAGGTTGTAAAAGCTACCGGGAATTGTCTTAAGTAAAGCTGTTATTTTTTCTTACTTTATCTTTCTGTGAATGCTGTTTATAGCAGTTATTTATTTGAACAAGGCTGTCGTTTGTCTTGTCATAGGCTTACACACAACAGGGTTTGAACGTGTATATCTTTAAGAAGATCCATGATGTGTTCTTTCAAGAAAGGCTTGGGTTGAAGGCTGCCTTTGTAATTAGAATAGAGGTTTTCAATCTTGATAGGACTCCTGCGCATGACATTGATGTTGTGTTTGTTAAAATAGGGATGTGTCTAAAGTTTTCAGTATGCTCTTGCTGCTTACAGATATATTAATTATACTCAAGGCATAAGGTAGATAATTGTCTACACTGAATGTCTTGTCTGTAGCATTTACTTATTCACTATTTAAATGATGAATGAAGACACATTTTTTTTTCTCTTGCTTGTGTTAAGATGGTTCGTGAAATTGACAACGAGAAGAGAACTCGCCTCCTACAGTTTGTCACAGGAACCTGTCGACTGCCAGTTGGAGGATTTGCCGAGCTGATGGGTATGTGAATGTCAGAATTGTTTGGTTCTTTTTTTTTTTTGTCCTGTGTCCCGTTTTTGGTGCCGATATTTGTAAGTTATGTAAAAATGTGCCAACATGGTACAGATTGTTATGTTTCAAGAACAAAACAAGAAAAAGGGGATGTGATGATGATGGTAATGATGATGATGATGATGATGTATTGTCGGAAATGGTGGTGTTAGTTTATTCCTTCGTTTGGCACTTACTCTAGATCCCCCAGGGGCTCCTGGGGAGAGTAAGAGAGAGAGAGAGAGAGAGAGAGAGAGAGAGAGAGAGAGAGAGAGGGGGTGGGGGGGGGGGGGGACACAGCCTTCATTCCTAACAATTGTTTGGTTCCAGTATTCCCCTTTGCTCTTGGCTGATGTGGGTGGTTTATGGTTGTGGGTGCTTTGTTGTTCTCTATGTCGGTTTAACCATTGGTTAATGGTTGCTCTAAATGTAATATTGTAGTGGTATAAGCTGAGTGTCATTTTGGTGCAAGTCCCAATATCTGACAGTTTTTGTCAAAGTTGTTGAAAAATCTTCACTTAGACCAGACCATCAATGATTTATTTATAGAGGCACCAGCCATCCATGTCCAGGTGCTGTTTTAGCCTTCTTCACTTAGAGCCCAGATCTATTGTATTTATGGGCAGGGGCCAACACACCCTGACCTGCCAGCGAGAAATTGACTCCCATATATCAATTTTTAAAAAATTTGTTAATTTTGTTTAGAAACACTCTTCCTCAATAAGATCCTGCATCAGGAAATAAGACCCAATAGTGATGCTAATAATTCTAAAACTATTCGCACAGCACACAGGGATTCCCAGTGCTCCCAATTCGTCCCCCTCTGCCCGTTCATGGGGATTCCCCATTCGAAGTGATGCCTCTTAGACACCTCATTGGCCTTTATGGCAAATTGTAAAGTAAAACTGTACTATTTAACATTTTTATGTTGTTGTTAGCGATCCAGTAGCATCTGAGCGTTAACTCTTCTGCATGATGCCATTCGGTAATAGTTGCATGTTTGTTCTAATTGTTGTCTTGAGGAGTAGAGGCAAATTTTTATGTTAACTAGAAAAATTGTTTTAGATTGAAAATATATGTATATTTACGCTGATTTTTAAACATTTTAAGATTTAACAACTGACCCGAGCCAGCCGTACAGCGAACTGTTGTGAACAAGACCAACTTGTGTGTCGCGCGCTCATATGACCGTACGCAGTTGCGAGCGCCGTAAAACCCTATACTACTAACTATGGTTTTACTGGATGAGATGTCAAATAGCAGATAACTTGAGGATGAATTTAGGAATTTAGTGAAAAGTCAGTGCTTTCAAAGTGATTTATGTAGAAATAGAAACAGGAAAAATGGAGTTAGTACGGTGAATGTCAACCCCTGCCCTCACCATTTCCCAGCTGAAATTCACTTGTGTGGGTGGTTGGCGGATGCTCTGGTGTGGTTTGCTCCTTCTTTCCTATCAAACATCTATCGTCCTTATCTCTCCTCCTTTTTTGTGTATGTTACTCTCTTGTAACAATTTTATTCTTTGGCACTTATATGACCTTATTGTGTTGCAAGTGCCGTAAAACTCTTACTAGTGGGTGGTTGGCAGGTGCTCTGGTGTGGTTTGCTTCTTCTTTTCTATGAAAGATCTATCGTCCTTATCTTCCGTTCTTCTTTTTTCAGTTTGTTACTCTCTTGTAACACCTCTAATCTTGTGGCGCTCATTTGACCTTCTGCATTTGCAAGTGCCGTAAAACCTCTACTGTGGGAAAAAAAGAAAAAGAAAAAACGTCTATCGTCCTTATCTCTCCTCCTTTTTTGTGTATCTTGTAACAATTCTATTCTTTGGCACTTATATGACCTTATTGTGTTGCAAGTGCTGTAAAACACTTACTAAAATGAAATTCACTTCCCCTATTTCCATGTGGGTGCTTCAGGGAGCAATGGCCCCCAGAGGTTCTGCATCGAGAAGGTTGGCAAGGAGACCTGGCTGCCCCGCTCACACACTTGCTTCAACCGGCTGGACCTGCCTCCGTACCGCAGCTACGAGCAGCTGGTGGAGAAACTCAACTATGCCATCGAGGAGACGGAAGGCTTTGGGCAAGAGTAGAGTGAGCGAAAGGGGGAGGGGGGAGAGGTGGAGAGCTCACACTTCCACAGTTGACTTACAACTAACGGGCCTGTTTTTTAAGGTAGTGATAGAGGGAGGCAAAATTTGCACGTGTTTGTGATGTGATGGTGGTGCTTGCAATTGGATGTGTTGATGTTGGAGTGCGTGTGTGAACTTGTATGCATTTAGGATGATGGATTTGTTTTGAATGTGGAAACACCTGCAGGGGATATTTCCTCAAATGGTAAAATGACTTGTGAGCATGCTGCTTGTGTTTTCAAATGTGTTTGTTTGAACCGTATTCTATGCTCCTAATAAATTTTCTTTCAGGTAAAAATGGAAATTTTTCATGTCGTCATAGCAATACTTATATTTTCAAAATCTGAGATATAATTCATGCCGGCTCGAGACGTTTCCTGTACATTGCTTGGAAATCAAGATATTTCTCTCCTTCATTAGGATAGATATTCTAAGTTTAAAACAATGTTTGGATTCTGACTGAATTTCATTGAATGGCTCATTCGCTAGCGAAAATGAATGTTTTGTCTCGTGTAGACTGATCAATGTTCTCAGTGTGTGAATGAACACTGTACAGCTTTAGAATCATGTCTGTACAGTGCCAACAATTTCCCTTGTCTACTGTGTCTTTCTTTCTTCTGTCTGTCTTGGCTCGGGTACCCAAATTTGACTTTTGCTGCGTGAGACTTTATTTTTCTACTCTGGTCCTTTCAGGCTTTTTGTTCCTCTTCTTTAAAAAATACAATGATGTTAGTAATTGTTCAATAGTAACAGTAATTTTTTTCCCCTTTAAGTAATTTAGCGACAGTAAGCTGCAGGTTTTTTACTCTTTATTCTTTGTCAGTGAAGGTCTAACATCGGAGTACCGTTTCTGTTGGAATATATTATGGTGTCCCTTGGAAAGCCTTGAGCGCCGTAAAACCCTATACTACTACTACTAAAGTTTTTCTTCTCCTCCTGCTGTTGTGCTGTACATTTACTGGCTCAGGACAGCTATGTGAGACGTTGACGTCGTGTCCTCTGCAATGAACTTTCATACCGGATTCCTTTTCCATTTTTCTTAAGAAGTGGTCACTTCTTAGAATAGAGGTTTATGATTCAGGATATGAGATCAAAAGTGCTCATTTTTGTCAGCAGCAGAAAAGTGTTATACTATTGGACATTTATATTTGAAGCGTGATAACGAAATGAGTTACTTCTTGGATTTGAGCCCAATGGAAAAAAATGCGTCACGCTTATCGTTGAAGTTTTTATAATTTATAAATATGAAATAATAAAAGGCTTGTTATGCCTAAAGAATATGGCATCAATAGAAAATCTACAAATTTGACCCTAGTGTCGATTTTCGGCCAAAATATCCATTTGTGGATTGCGAGAAGTAACTCATTTTGTCAGCATGCCTCAAGTTACTGTCCTGTTAGAGTGGGAATGTCTGAAACAGGGAAGCTGAATACTTTGGTTACTTGAGTTTGGAAGAGATTTAATTGATGACCATGTTTTTTGTAGCTTGAAAATGTGAGTCACTGTTTAGTACGGCTATTCTTTTTAGTCGCTGTGTCTGAGATTCATGAGTCGACTACAGCTGATGGCGCTCGTATGACTTTATGCAGTTGCGAGCGCCGTAAAACCTCTACTAAAACTAAAACTGACTACAACTGAATTTCTGATATGGTGAAAAAGTTCAGTCCTTGTTCCTCTACTTTCAGTCCTCTTGATTTTGGAGACACTAGAACTCTCATTGTTGGAAAGGCATTTTGGTGGTTCGGATTGTATGAATGAAGTCTTAAGATCCATTCTTATGAGGTAACGGTTATGTTCTAGTGAGAGTTTTATGGCACTTCACAAATTAAAAGTTTGATGAGGTTTCATGTGTTTCAGTGCTGGGAGAAAATGCTAAAGTTTCTAGCATGGCTTCAACTATTTTGACAGTGTCATTGGATATGACTGGGCTATTGTGGTGGGTTTCGTTACACTTAGCTATATATCAAAAGAAGTCTATGAACGAAAGCATTAATTACCCCAGTTTTTCCTCTCTGTGTGTCCAGATGGGTCATGGCTTGAAGTTGGGGTTTGACTGATTGTCTTTGACTATTGTTGTGAATTCTTTGGTTTTGTGCTCACCTTTGCTTTACCTGTACTCCCATTCAAGGCTCACCAAACATTGACCTTGTCCGTCACGGAACACTCTAATGCAATCCTCTGTTTTACCCTTACACTGTCAAAGAACCCATTTTTTTCATGTCTTTCTTTCAAGCCACTTAACTTACCAATGCTTTGCGGCTGCTCTTTCCTCTCTGTTTCACAGTTCCAAAGGCGGCTATTGAGGAATTTTTACAGTGAATTTTATTAATTGATGGTGTGAAAGTCTTGAGGATTTTTTCAAGGTAAATACAGAAGGAATGCTTTACGTTTTCTAGAGAGAGTTCAAACAGTGAAGTGTCAGTAATGGTCCTCACAGTGTCTTGTTGGTGCACAGAGAGAATGCTAGAGCCTGTACAAGACGCTGAGGCATATTATTATTAGCACTCACTTGCTGGCGCCAGTATTTTGAAATGGAAATTATTCCCTGTGTTCTTGGCGGAAGACTTGCTCTTCTGATTGAATCGATTGTCTTGGCTTTCTGTTTTTCTACTATATTGTATGAATCTTTAGCAGTCAACCCGGGCCAGTGTGGTTTGAATTTTTTTTGGGTTTAAATATTGGATTGTATTTCTTGGGCTAATGTCTGTCATCGTCTTACTGTCATCGTCTCACTGTCATCGTCTCACTGTCATCGTCTCACTGTCATCGTCTCACTGTCGTTTTCGGTCTCTGCTGGTGTTCCTGGTGAAAAGCCAGGGCTGGTTATGATATTGAAGATGTTTTGCATATCTCTGTTTCCTGTTTATGCTCGTTTTTTTTTGTTTTTTGTTTTTTAAATTGCATAGTTTGCCGATATACACGTGGCTTACATTAATACATTTGCAAAGAAATGGTTGTTTCTTTTGTTTGAGCCCCATCAATGTCTGTTGTGTTGACTGCACGGAGCAGCAAAGACTCCTGGGACCTGGAATGTTTTGCTTTCTTCCCTCCCACCGTGTTTCTGTAGCCAGAGAAAGCACTAAGCGTTGTAACAATTTTAGTTAGAAATATTAACCAGAATCAGGCTGAGCAATGAGCTGTTGAGAAAAAACCAACTTGTTTCTCGCGTTCGTGTGACCATATGCAGTTGCGAGCACCGTAAAACCCTATACTAGATTACTACACTAAAGAAAGTACTAACAGTACCGGTAATTCCAATGTTTTGTCAAATTGGTCACTTTTAAGGACAAGCGGGCTAACCCAGATTTTGGGGGTTTCTAGAAATCTGGACCTACATCAAAAGTGGGAATTGTCCCACCTGTAGGAGAAGTTTGGTTTCATTGGTGTGTAGGTCTATAATATTTGTTTGGTCATAAGAGAAAACTCTCCTTGTATTTTAAAGAAACTGAACAAGGGTCCAAAAACTTTACCTTCGGTTTTCTCAAAACAGCATTTATGCGGATAGCCCCCTTGTGCTTAAAAGCGGCCAATTGTCTGCTGTGTTCTTAATAGCTTTAGAATCATGTCTGTGCAGTGCCAGGTTTAGTTTTCGTGAGAGTTTTATGGCACTTCACCAATTAAAGGTTTTTGAGGTTTTGGTGCTGAAGGAAAATGGAAAATAGTGGTCCGTCTTCAACATTTCTGAAAATGTTTTTAAGATGAAGGCTACTTGCAGCAGCAGGAGCAGCAGCAGCAGCTCGTAGGTTCTCGTATTTCTGGAAATTTCCCGTGTATGATTTCCCCACACAGGCTGTTGTGTCTTCTACTGGTGTACTAGGAAGTAGCTCAGGTGTCATGCATCAAAAAACAAAAATGCATCATGTTACTGGGTGCTTGATTAGACATCTTGGCTGGGATCAAGTCGGTGTACATTGAAAAACATGCTCGTACACAGAAATCTGGAGTTGAAGCGATTTTGGGTGACTTCTCAAGAGTGGGTTTTGATAAAAAATCGTGTGTGTTAAAACTTGAACATTTTTGTTTCCCTTCCCTTCTTCCAACTGGCCATACTTTTTGTTGAACCTACACGCTTAAAGTGTAGATCTATTGAAGGCGACGTCTTGAAAGACACATTCATAGACTTTGGATAAGTATAAGTAAAAGCAGTAACACATGCGAGCCACGTTAAAATGTGCGAATAGGAAACATTTGGTAGAAATTATTACCTGCATACGTTGATAATACCCCAGTCCAATAAATACCACTGTAGTGTAAGCAATAGATGATTCCAGTTGCTGCTTGTCTTTGCTGCTGTGTGCAGTCATGTTGTTGATACTGTGCAAAAACTTTGTCCCATGTGATAGGAATGCGAGGAAGCTGAAGTTTGTTTGAGCATGTGATGGCTGTTCTGAGTTGTACTGCGGAAGTCTTCTCTTGCAGTATTTTTCCTTTGGCTACATAGGCCTACCTCCTTCCCCCAGTTTTAGTTTTTACATATTTTGTTCATGGACATTCAATAATGAAATTTATGAGGTTCCTCGGGATACGTTGAATAGACACTCTTTGGGGATTTTTATACTGAAAGGGATTTTTTGGGGGGGGGGGGCATTTGGAGTTTGCAAAAGTTCACTGCTAATGAGAAGTCATTTTGGGAAAATTGCATGCATTCAGAGGAAAAATATTGTTGAACAGTACTCATATTGTCTGTTGCCCGTGAAACCCATCTGTTAGCTGTACTTTGTGCTGCCTCGTTGCTTATTTATGAGGAAACCATGTTCTCATATGTAATATATACCAATATGGTTACAAGTAATGGGTATTTGAAAGAAATACTGCTTTACGTTCTTTTCTTGCCCGCTATGTCCTTCTTTTTTTTCTGTTCAATTTTGATTTCTTCCATTTTCTCGCAACTTGTCTTAGTGTGTTGGAGTTTTCAGTTTCTCAATGGTCTTGATTTTGTGTGAATTTAAGCAATGCATTTTCCCCTGATATATGAATCATTTTGCTGTCATTTCTTGATCAAATGGATTCATTTGACTGATTTGAAGGTCGCACTGATGTAACGATTGTTCACATTTATTTAGGCATTCGTCACTTAATTGTTGTGTGTTGTTGGTCTATCTCTCTTGTGTTAGGAGAATGCTCCTGCTTGATTTAGAAGAGGATGAAGTAATTTGATCTCGGAAATCATCATAAATTCATACTCCATCGACATCATCATCCGTCTTTTCTTTGGTGTGGGTGGAAGGGAAATGTTCATGTTTCTACCTTGTTTTGACCGAAGGGGTGGCTTCCAGCCTGTTTCTTTAACGTAAGGCATTAAATTGGGTTGGTTGATTGTGTAGATTTATAAAGTATCATTTTTCGTCTTGTTGCTTGAGGTTCACTCTGGCTTGTAGTACTTGTAGCAGGGTTTTTTTCCAGTTTCAGAGATTGACTGAACCGACAAAGTGCAGGAAAACTGACTGTGCATTTAAATTTAAATGTTTTTGATAACAGTGAACTGTATATTCTGA